ATATATATATATATATATATATATATATATATATATATATATATATATAAAACATGGATTTGTAATTTTATTTGGCCAAATATTTCAGCCATTTATTTTAGAAACAGTGTTGACACATAACTATTTTGCATAATAGTGTCCTACTCAATAAAGCATATGGGGGAGAGAGAAAGGCTGATGTCATATTTTGACCATAATATATACAGTTTCTGTATGAAGTTTAATAACAATTTAACTTAAGTCAAACATCAATATTTTTCTGTTTTCTACCATTACTTTGTTTTTTAAGATAGCTTTATCTCTGTAGTTCATAGAACAATGATCCTGTATTTTTGTCTGAGTTATCTTAAATTCACAGTCTGTCTCTGAACTAGATAATCTTCTTTTTTCCCCACTTTCCCTTCATGCTTGCTTGACGTGACTTCTATAATGTGACTGAAATGTATTATCACCAGGATCCCTTTGGAACATATATGCAGTGGAATTTTAACCATTTTGAATGGGTTATTCTTATTTAAATCTTAAAGTATAGACTTGATTATCTTGTAAAGTGCTGAAAAAAACATTTGTTGTAAATTGTGCTGTATAAAACTAAGTAAAGTCAAAATAACGAAGCATGTACGCTTCAATTAAGTCCAAAAAAAAGTAGATATTTGATACAAATAAGATCTCCAGCATTTTAAACAAATAGACCTTGGGTTTCAGACCCTTTTTTAAAATATTTTTTTGATAAAAAGCTTATGGACCCTCACTATTTGATTTATATTTATTTATGCTGTCTTTCTTTGAACAGCTGAGATAGTTTTGGACACACACAAAGTGAAAAAAAAAAGTTTTTAAAGAACTTCACACTGGGTTAATTAGTATAATGTTCATACTCCTTATTGGTAGGTGGCAGTAACGTAATGAATTATCGGTAAACCGCCAATACAGATCAAGAAGAAGACAAAGAAAAAGAGGAGGAAGCTCTTTGCGACCATTGACTACCGTATTACGGCAGTGAGAAGAAGATGGCGGAGGTAACGAATGAAGCAGAGCTACTCAAGGAGAAGGCAAATAAGTTCTTCAAAGGTAATTCAGAGAATCTGTCAAGTATGGCGTTTATTACAACAGAAGGACACTGACTATCACGCCGTCAGTAATTATTTTGGGATACAAGTTCTCGTCGCTTCGCAGTCACAGGCAGGTTCAACTATTACGCAAAGCTGATGCTAACACTAAACTCCATTCATTCCAGCAGCGGTTAGCAATTAGCTACGCAGCTGTCAGCGTGCTCTCTGAAACACGCCGCCGCCGGATCTGATTTGGAACCTGCGGAGGTGTGGTGTAAACCTCTGACTGAGGTTTTTATATGGCACTAGAGTGAATAGAGGCGGTGTTGTTGTGTTGTTGAGGCAAAGCTCCTAGAATGTTCTTAGTTAGTCATCGCGTGTTTAAAGCTGGGAGTTGTTGAGCCTTCTTAACTTAAACCAACACACTCGATACCCTGCCTCCAGTTGGTGAAGGATATGTTAATCCTTTGAATTAGCACGTTAGGTATGCTAACCATGTTGTTTTGACTTTGAACTTTAGTTAGACAGACTTGAAATCCAAACTGTCAATAGTTATTGACAATGCAAGTCAAAGTCCTCATTCCCAGAGATTAAAACTGAGTATTGCTGCACTATCCCTTTAACTTCAGACTGACTTGTTTTATCATGGGATTTGTTTTTAAGCTGTAATTCACTATTCCTCTTGAAATCTTTAACCTTTCCATTCATCATTTTACTGATTATAATTCTTAGTTTTATGCTGACACCAGTTTCACTGTTATCAAGAGTGTTTTTTTGGTTGTTGTTGTTGTTTTTTGTTAACCTTTGATCAACTAATTTTTATAAAGCACCATAGAAATTCCCAGAACAACCTACACTTAAAAGATCCCCTCAACAAACACATAAAACTACTTTATACCATGACTTTCAAGGAATATGTTCAAAAACGACATCCTAATAGGACTTGGAATAAAAACATTATCGATATAGGTAGTGTTACACACCTTATTAATATCAATAGAAAATGCATTCTGTAGAATATTCCACAATGTGATTTCTGATCCAGAACTTGGCATTCTGGGAGGTGTATGCAGAGCAAATGGTTAAGGCCCTAAAATTTACACAGCCAACCTTTGGAAGTAGGGCTGAACTTTATTTTTTTTAAAGGTTAACTTTAAAATACGGTTTTGGTTATAATTTAATTCCAACCTGTTTTCTCCTGATCCTTCTTTGAAGGGGTTGAAATGAAAATAATCTAAATTGACTGATATGTAAGGTTTATATTGGGCTATATTTTCAGCTATATAGCACAGAAGATTAGATATTTTTAACTACAGCATTTAAAAGAATTTTGTGCAAAATTTGCTGGACTGCAACTAAACTTTTTTGCTGTTTTTTTTTTTTTTTTAAGTAGAAAGATGACAAATATACAACTATTAATTCTAGCAAAACAGCTAAGTTCCAATTATTCAATTCCCCCAGTTCAGTTTAAGTGTATTTTGCTAAAAGCCTTCATGTATGTTGGAGACATACAGTTAACCCTGTATAGATGACCTATTTACTATTTTGGGAATAGTCATGTATAGTGTCAACAGTGAACGTTTATTTAGATATCTTCTCAGGTGGAATTGAAGTGTCAGCTTAAACAGCGAGAGCCCAACACTGTGACATGGATATGTTGTCAAAGCAAAAAAAAAATAATAATAATAAAAAAAAATCTGAAGCAGGCATATCCTTAATTTGAAAAGGTTGTCTGAATGCATATTGTCTGCTATTGTCATTCATTTTTAAATAACTTGGGGTTAGTAATCAAAAAACAAAAAGGGAAGATCAAAATGCACCTATCTCTTTAAACTCTAAGTTAAAAAAAAAGGTTTAGTTTTAGTCACTTTGGACCATGGACCTTAAATACCTCTGATATAAAACAGAAAAATTGGGCTGTTTATTGTGAGGAAATCAGGAGATGGCGACACTAGTTGTAAATATTGCAGAAATGCTCTCATATGGGATATATGCTTATTTTCCTCCTTTTTAATCATTGCTTCCACACATTGGGGTCCTTATTGTTTGTGCCAATCCTATTTTTTTGGCGTCCTCTACTAAGAGACTGCATCCCAACTGGCTGAATTCCATATTGGCATGCATAATGCTAATGTAGTGTATAACACCTAAAATATATCAGCCAATGATTATGCATTTAAAATGGTAATTTGCTATAGGACTGATGCACACACAGATAATGGGATGACATGTTGTGCAGCATTCCTGGAATAGCACCCACATCTACTTAGATTATTGCTCTCTAGCATGAGCAGGGCCTGTCTCCTCCCTCCTCTTATGCTCCTCGGTGATGGGAAGTGCCTGTGTCTGCTGATGAGCTGATGACTCTCTAAGTACATGATTGGGCTCTGTTGGGCACTGTCTGATTCCTGGAGGCTGCCCGGCCTGAGCCTCCTGGCCCTTTGGGGTCCCCACTAGGGGCTGTCTTCAGACTTTTCACCCCTGGGCTCTCATCTGGGTCCACCTTAAGAGTTACTGGCCACCAGTAGAGCCCAGTTTTCTTATAAACACAAAGTACCTTAGGGCAACAATCATAACAGTTCCCTTGTTAAAGCAAATCTTTTGGGCAATCTTCTAGCTCTGGGACATTGATTCCCAGAAATACATTGGCACAACAGGACAGAAAAAATGTACTCCTCTGCTCTTGAATTCAGACTAAAGAACATCAACCTTTAATAGATTCAAGCTCAAAATTTCTTGGATTTTTCCTCTTTATCTAAATATATTCCATGTAAGGGTGTTTAGTTTTGGCATCACATACATAAAGGAATCCAAACCACTTTGCATAAAAATGTATGAAAGACCTTCAAATCTTTGTAAAACATTGCAGAAGTTTATTTTAGTCCTTTACTTCAGTCATGTAAACAATTCACCTGTTAAACTATTTGCTCAAAGGTTGCAATGAATAAACAGGTATTTCTGTTCCTCAGTTAAAGGAGCCAACCATTTCTGCACATTTCGGTTTTTGTGAGACTTTGTTCTAGAGCTGAAGATTATAGATCAGTTCTGACTTCCTCAGTTTTTTTTTGTTTTGTTTTTTTTTTTGGCCTGAGAAAACCGGTCATTTGGTCTCTGGTGATCTGAGGGGTCTAAATGGTTCAAACTTGATAAGAACCTCAATAATATATTTCTGTGTGTACGGTACTTTGTTTTTTTGGGGTTTTTTTTTTTTAGATATCAAGAAAGGCATAATCTTCTAGATTTTCCACATTAAAAACATTGTTAAGCATTTCAATGAGTTCTATGCTTTTTCCAGAAAAGGACTACGAAAATGCTATCAAGTACTACACGGAGGCTCTTGAGCTTAATCCATCCAATGCCATCTACTACAGCAACCGAAGCTTGGCATACCTGCGCACAGAGTGCTATGGATATGCCCTGGCAGATGCTACGAAGGCCCTGGAGGCAGACAAGAACTACATAAAAGGATATTACCGCCGAGCAACTTCCAACATGGCGCTGGGGAAATTTAAAGCTGCACTTAAGGACTACGAAACGGTGAGAAATCAAATATAATGACTACCAGTAGATACTTGCTTTGATCTGTGGTCTAAAATTTAGAGATGCATGATCAGGATTTTTCGCGAGCAGGTGATTCGTCCCCAAACATTGGACAACAGGGCCCCAAACTGGGTCATGGATAGTCAGAAGTACAGCTGAAAGCATCCAGATGTAGCTTCTGGAGGAGGTGGTGGCATTCTCCTTACTGGTTCCATCTCTGGGAATCTGGTGAGCCCAGAGACGCTGACGGCTTATTCTACTTTCAAAAGTAAAAACAAAAACAAAACGCACTGCGATTTGATCCATAAATCCCTGTTACCTATGTTGAGGTGGAACCAACAACCAGCAGATTCTTTTCAATCAGCTTTTTCTAATGTGCATTTTCAAGTATTGCATCAGAAATACTGTGGAAATAATATGGAAACAGCTAATATTATAGACACCTGGTGCCACAGTCTTATCAGCAATCTCACTCTAAAAACTTAAAGACCTTTAAATGCTCGCTGTCTAGTTCTGTAGGCACAATCATCAGGAAGACTCTGGGGAATAAACTAATGTAATATTCAAGTTTTACCTTTTCAATGGAATTATTGAAATAAATCAAGTTTTTCCCGAAATTCTCATTTCATAACCAGGATCTGTACATGTTTGGTTCCAGGGTTTCTTTATTTTCATGGCCTTGAATGTGTCTGCAGGGTCCGTGGTCACCTTACTTTATTGCTGTGTAGAGAAATACTTTCTCTAAGCTCGTATGCATGGGTTTCTGTGTGACCCTCTCTTCCCTTCTGCGTGGCAGCAATCCTGCTTTATGCATATTACCAGCCCTTAAAGAGATGGAACGGCAAAATTGTCTCTCATTGAATGTTACTTGTTAGCACTGTTTCAGAAATTCAAGTAGCCATTCGTTTGAAAGTTTTCCAATGATTAGTGTTTTTATTGTGGTCTGCTATAGTCCTAAATGTGAGAAAAGGTGTTGTACGCCTTTAAGCTTTTCTGAATAGAAGTCAGTTGCTTTCTTTTCTGCTTTTAATAGTTTTTTGAGGCTTTGTGGTGCTTTTAGATATATTTTAGCCTAATTAATGCCACAAGTAAGTTCTAATAACTGACTGGAGAGGGGTGGCATAGTGCTTAGGGCATTACGCTCGGGTTTCAGAGGTTCTGAGCTCAAGCCCCACTCCCATGGACTGCCACTCTGGGTTCCTGACCCTTAACCCCACACTGCTCCCTGGGCTCCCCACAATGGCAGCCCATTGGTTAAATGTAGAGAGTTAATTTCGTCACCTTGTACTTGTGACAGTGTAGTGACAATATAGTTGAATTCTAAAATTTTAATTCTTTGTCAATTGTCATATTTGACAGAAATTATCCTCATGCTTAACAAAAACTTCATCCATATGGGGATAATATAAGGTGTAACCGCAAAGGTGTGTTATTAAAGGAAAAGTCCAGTCCGCAAGCAATAATCAATGGATCATTATCTAGAGCTAAAACTAATACGCTGGGATTTAATGAATTTAGCATTAATCAGTAAAAAAATAAAAGTAATTTTCGTCGTGATTACTGAGTTTAAGACCGGCCATTTTTTCCAAAATATAGTAGCACCTCACTCCTGACATCTTCCGGCAGTTACGTCACGGTGTGGTAAGCCTAGCGCCATTCTTCCCGCTTTACAAGCAAAATCAATGGGAACTGCTGACACATCTGCAATCAACAACAATTATTGAAGATTTCCAGAGGACTTCACCATTGAAATTCACCAGAGCTATAGTTAAACTGACAATGCCCACGTGCATGGCAGTTGGATGTTGTAATACATCAGGTAAAAGTGAAACAAAAATGAGTTATTTCACCTTTCCGATTCATGATCCACCACCTGTTTGTCGTTGGATTGCCAACTTGAAGAGGGAGGATTTGCCAATGAACTTCTGGCCAGAGAAAAAAAAACGTAATATGTAGCCAACATTTCGAAGAAGAATGTTTTCAAGCTGACTTGGATAATAGCGCGTTGTGACAAACACCAGAAACAGCATTGGGACTTGCTCAACAGCCGGTACCGCACCGTGACGTCACAAACCGGCGGGCGGCAGTGGTGTTCTTTGACAAACAAGGTTGCCTCCAGTAAAGCACATTCAAATGAAAATTACACTTTTAAAAAAAAAAAACACTTATCATTTATTGAACAGTATTTAAATTACTTTCAGAAGTTATGAATATGACCAGACTTTTCCTTTAAAGCTATCCTGCTGGTGAGTTTGGAAAGCATTAACTATAACTATTAAATTAAGAGTCCCAGAGTGGACAAATCCCTGGCCTTTTTGGTAGCAGTTTGTTTTGTCACGGCGCCACCAAAGGGCATAGCATATGAACTGCAGCGTCTTCATTGGTGCTCTGGACACAACTTTTTTCTAATCAGTTTATAAAAAGTTGTACTGTTGGTCTTTGTGAGGTCTACGTTCAAATGCAAGTTAAACATTGTATGAAAAATGAATTGTCTAATTTATCCCCCTGTCACTCCAGGTAGTAAAAGTGCGACCGAATGACAAGGATGCAAGAATGAAGTGGCAAGAATGTAACAAGATTGTGAAACAGAAGGCGTTTGAGAGAGCCATCGCAAGTGATGACAAAAAGAAATCTGTTGTTGACTCTCTGGATATCGAAAGCATGAGTACGTTTTCTGTTTTGCCCTTTATCTTAAACTCAACATGTGCTGATTTTGCTGCATTGCAAGTTAATAACAAGTTTGTCCTAAACGTTATTGTTGTTGCAGCCATCGAGGACGACTACGTAGGGCCCAAACTTGAAGATGGGAAGGTGACGTTACAGTTCATGAAAGACATGATGAATTGGTTTAAAGATCAGAAGAAACTGCATAGAAAATGTGCTTATCAGGTAAACACGAGGTCCTGGTCATAGATGCTAAAGAATACAGAGTAACTGTTACTGGACTTTATTCACATCTGTGCTTTTTGTTTTGTATTCTCACAGATATTAGTTCAAGTAAAGGATGTTCTATCAAAGCTACCAAGTCTTGTTGAAATCACGATAAAAGAGGTAAAATGATTTCAGGGTCCTTTAAGTTCAGAAAAAAAACATTTATATAAGGTGTCTGCAGAAAGTAAATAATTTTTCTCTCTTCCAGACAGAAAAATTAACCATATGTGGGGACACCCACGGGCAGTACTACGATCTACTTAACATCTTTGAGTTGAACGGTTTACCCTCAGAGACCAATCCTTACGTATCCTTCCTAATAATAAAAAAAGCCACAAAAGCATAATGTTTCTATATTTATGTCCTCCTGAGTTCTGATTTGGTCTAAAATGACAAAAGCCAAATATGTCAGACTCATAATCTGTGCTTCACTTTACTTAACCACACCTTCCAGCTCTTCAATGGTGACTTTGTGGACCGGGGCTCTTTCTCTGTTGAGGTCATTCTCACCCTATTTGGCTTCAAGCTGCTTTACCCAGACCACTTCCACTTGCTTCGAGGTGAGCGGATCCCACTCCGGTTGCAGATGTAGCAGCTGTAATTACCTGCTAATCTGACATCAGTTATTTTGACTTTAAGTGTCAAACGGAAAACCATTGGATTCAATGTTTGTTGTGAATTTCTTTTAGATAATGACTTGTATATTGAAGTCAACAATAATAAAAGTATTTATATTTACCTGTAGGTAACCATGAGACGGACAACATGAACCAGATGTATGGGTTTGAAGGGGAGGTCAAAGCCAAATACACAGCCCAGATGTTCCAGCTGTTCAGCGAGGTCTTTCAGTGGCTTCCTCTTGCTCAGTGTATCAACAGCAAAGTACTGGTAGGTTTTAATGGTAGAAAACATTAAATGAATAAAGAGTTAAGTATGTTTTATAAAATTTTAGTTAAGGAGGGCGTTGATTTTATGAGATGCTTCGAGGCCTGTGTCGAGTAATGGAGGGGGCGTTTCCCTGAAGCTCGAGTCGAGGCGTGATTCATTTAGAGGATGGGCCAAAATTGATGACGTCCGAGGCCTTGCTACGGTGATACCATGTGACCGCTTCAGGAAGTGGTTCAGAAAGTGCAAGAATTTTGACAGACATTTAAACAGCTTCAGTATTCAGTCAAGATGTGGGAGTTTGTAGGACATGTGCTGTCAGTTGGATAGAGTTTGAATAGATTCTAAGAATAGATTGGTTGGAAAAACAACCTAATCTAGTTGCTTAAAACTGTTTTGGTTAGAATAAACAATGTAATGATCAAAATATGAGCAAGCCACAGGAGTTGCCAAAGTATTTTGGCTAATGAGACTAATTTGTATTGGTTTGCCCCAGTAAAAACATAGATTGGGTAAAAATGCTGCCAAATTAGGTTGGTTAAGCCAAAAGTTTAGTTGAGCACAACTTCCAATCCTATTAAAACCAAAAAAATGTGGAAAAACTATTATGTTTGCATTAAAATGACTAACAGCTTTCATTTTGCTCATTATTGCCCAATTTGCACCAACACTTTCACTGCTTGAGTTTATTTCACTAAAATGGCAGAGAAACTGTGCACCTTAAATGATTGTTCTAAGAAATTTTACATTTAAGAAAAACAAAAAAAATTAAAAAATATTTTACTATACACATCAACCGTTAACAATTTCAAAGGAACTTAAAACGGGGAAAAAAGAAAAACACTTGTGAAAAAAATCACAGATTTTATCACAAACTGTAGTTCTGCACTACACCAGTAGGTGGGGACATGTTCACATGAAGCCTCATGAACTGTGGAGATTTAATTATCATTTAATTATTTGGCCAAAGGTTTAAATGCTTCATGAGGCTTCATCTCACCATCACTAGTTATCAGCCTTTGGTTATGATTCAGTTTCAATTCAGGTTTTAATGGTTTGTGGTTTTTGGTAACGTATAAATAAAATGTTGTGGGGCTGAAACTGATTTTGAGTTATTTAGGTATTTGTTTTTTTCTATTATTATTTTAGTTGATGATCTAATTATTAATTTGATTGAAAAGATGCTCTATGGTTTTCTTACAGAATTTAGGGAGTGGTGGCTTAGTGTATAGAGCTTTGAATCCTGACGTTCTGAGTTCAAGCCCCACTCCCACAGACTGCCACTCGTGGTCCCTGAGAAAAGACCCTTAATCGCACACTGCTCCCCAGGCGCTGCTCAGTGGCAGCCCACTGCTCCCCAAGGGCATGGGTTAAATGCAGAGAGTTCATTTCATTGCGCTGTACTAGCGACAGTGTAATGACAATAAAAGCTGGGGAAAAAAAATTGAACCAAGTGGAGCTAAATGGCTTTATCTTAACTAAACCACTAAAATATTAAATTTTTAGCATAGCTGCTTTTTTGTGTGGTTTGTTCTTTCGGCAAATGGCTTGTTTAGAGTATGTATGTTTCTTGCTTACTAGTATAATTTTAAGATAAGTTCAAAATCAAATGATCTGTTGTTTTGTAGTGAAGTTTCTGTGTCCGGCGTGGATAAAGATATACATATTCATTGTGTTTTTTTTTTTTTTTTTTTTTTTTTTTTTTTTAGATAATCCCTTTTCCTTCACTAACTGTAGCATTTGTTCATTATTTTGGCATCAAATGTTCCAGTGTCTGCTTATAAAAGCCACATTTAATGCAGGGAAAAGAGCTAGTTTTAAACTGTGCTGACAAAACAAATGCTTGATTGAGTTTAAGAAGTGTGATTATTGCCTTGAGAAAACAGAGAAACATTAAATCACATGTCTGATCACAGGAAGACTTGAACATGTGAGGCTTTTAAAGCTGCTGAGATTTCTGCAAGGAAGCCACTTTTTGCAAACTATAACGCTCTCTACTGCCCCCTTCTGACTTATTTGATCTGTGTGTTGCTGCTGAGCTGGTCAGAAGAAAGTTACTGAAACTAGGCTCTTAATACTAACACCGTCTTTCTGGCAGGATGCCTGAAATAAAACGTATTTCATTTTTATATAAGTTCTGTCTCAAGTCTTTGGGTGTTGTAACCCAGGCTTATGGTACTTTGTAATTCTCCTACTGACCCATGCCTTCCGTTTGCATTGCGTTAGATTAATGGCAACAGCTTGGTTTACATTAAATGTGTTGTCTTTTGTAGGTTATCCCAATAGTTTTCATACTTTTGAGTTTATTCAGTGTTTTAAATTAGCTTTATTACAGAGAAAGGGTCTTAAATGTCCTGTTTTTCTTACATTTGATTAAAGAAAAGGCTATCAGAAGAGATCTTCCCTGATAACTGCAGCTGTTATTTTTCTAAATTCACAATGACCCTAATAAGCTCATTTGCCTCAGGTCATGCATGGAGGACTTTTCAGTGAAGATGGCGTCACATTGGAGGACCTCAGGAAGATTGATCGGAACAGACAGCCTCCAGACTCAGGTTGGTTCACACTCCATGTTTACCTTTATGGTCAAATGAAAGCATGTGTCAGTATGAGAGTCACATCTGCTCTTCTTCCCCAGGTCCGATGTGTGACCTGCTGTGGTCCGATCCACAGCCTCGGGTGAGTTTGCTTCCACCACTTAATTCGGGGTCTGTCGAGTCTCTTCCGTTTTTTGTTAATTTTGTTTTGTCTCAAGCAGAACGGCCGGTCGATCAGCAAACGAGGAGTGAGCTGTCAGTTTGGTCCAGATGTGACGCAGCGCTTCCTGGAGCAGAACAAGTTGGACTACATCGTGCGAAGTCACGAGGTCAAATCGGAAGGCTACGAGGTCACTCACTCAGAAAAAGTCATCACCGTGTTCTCAGCACCCAATTACTGGTATGTTGTCATGTAGGCTCACCCAGCTGCTCTTTATCTCCCTGCTGCATGATGCACTGGACATTCATCTGAATGAAGACTCTGGGTTTTACTTGTAAAACCTTCTGATGAATGAGGCTGAACACTTGAACTGTTTCTGCTTCCCAACAGTGATCAGATGGGAAACAAAGGAGCATACATCCATCTCAGGGGATCAGATCTCAAACCAGAGTTTCATCAGTTCACTGCTGTGGTCAGTATACTGTCTTTATTCTTCTTCTTCTCCCTCATCATTATGACGTTTTCTTAAAGCCTGTCTGTTCTATGGCATGTAGTGGAGCACCCCTGTCTTCAGCCTCCCCCCACTGATGTTACTGTAAATCCACCAAGAAAGTCTGCAGATCCACTAAAATTGAATAAAAAAACTTTCAAAAGAAACTTGTTTTTCTAACAAAAGACTTTAAAAAGAAATTATTTGTGGCAGAATACCAAGTGTATGTTCTGCTGCTGTTAGAAATGGACAAAGAGGGTAAAAAAACAACATTTTATGTACTTCTACTTTAAAGTGGAGTAATCAAAGGAATCTAGCCAATTAGAATAAAATCTACCAATTATGATAGAAGCATGTCTCAAATATCCAACTAGAATTGGGCTAGCAGCTTAAAAAGCTAAACCGCTATAATTCTTTAACCAAACATGAAGAATCTGAATAGTCTTATGCATACAGAGGCCAATACACTTGAAGAAACTTAGTTTGAAGCATCATAACTTCTTTGAAATTAATTAAAGAAAAAAAAGAAATAGAACTGGAGTAATAAAGTGCAGAAAAAGATGACTGTTGAGTCTAAAAGGGACGAATGGCTAAGGCAGCACTTGGGAACAAGCTGCCTTTAAGTCTGTTAGTCCATGTTGTTATGGTCCTGAACTGTTTTCCTAAATGCTGCGGTATAAAGGGTCTGTGGGCAGGGATGCCCTGGTTCTTATCTTGACCCATACCTAATTTTCCAGCACTGCTTTACAACCAGGGCAGTCAATTATTTCCTATGCCATGCAGATAGCTTACATCACTGACACACAGAATACTCTGTTCTTGTCATGACTTAAAGGTATTTTTGTTTTTTTTTACATTGGGCCTTGATTTTACGTCTACTCACATATCCAAGTAACGTCTTCCTATGGGCAAATGACTTGAAGGCACAAACTAAACTGTTCATAATGTATTTGTTATGGTACTCCAGCATTCATAACATGTAGGTGGATCACTGTCCCCCAGACATCCGCCGTTATATTTTTTATATTTATCCATCCATCCATCCATCCATCCATCCATTATCTGACACGCTTGTCCCGAGTGGGGTCGCGAGGGGTGCTGGTGCCTATCTCCAGCAGTCAATGGGCTGCTGGAGACTATAGAGGCGGGGTACACCCTGGACAACCATTCACGCATACACTCACACCTAAGGAGAATTTAGGCAAGTCAATTAACCTAACAGTCATGTTTTTGGACTGTGGGAAGAAGCAGGAGTACCCGGAGATAACCCACGCATGCTCAGGGAGAACATGCAAACTCCATGCAGAAAGACCTCGGGCCGGGAATCGAACCCAGAACCTTCTTGCTGCAAGGCAGCAGTGCGCCACTGAACAGCCCATTTTTTTATATCTATATTTTTTTAAAACGAAGCGGCGCGTGTATGACATCATCCATGCGCCAGACTGGAGTTGTAACAGGAAGCCCGGGCCACAGGCGGCTACGCTCTGCCCCTTCTATTCATTCAGCTAGCTAATCTGAATCGTTCAGTTCTATTTCGAGAGCGAGATCATCGGTGGTAGTAGCACCAGACACCTTCCAGGCATGTGAGTAAAACTAGCAGCAGTTCAGCTGACAGGATGAATGAACGGTAGCCAGTGCACACGGATGACGTCATACACACTCCGCTTTGTTTAAGAAAGATATAAATATAAAAAATATAACCGCGGATGTCTGGGGGACAGTGATTCGCCTACATGTTATGAATGCCGGCATACCATAGTTGAACAGTTTAGTTTGTGCCTTCAAGTCGTTGCACATAGGAAGACGTTACTTGGATATAACCTAACGGAATATCTTCAGAACAGCTCCAAATGACGCAGAACTCATGTGGGTGAGTAGAACATGATGTAAAATGTTTAATCCATGGCCCCATGTAAAAAAAAAAAAATAAAAAAAACGGCGTTCCCCTTTAAGTATTTTTACTTGATGATTCTAGAATTAAACCTTCGCAGATGTTATAAAATTACACCTTACTTTCAGAAAGCAGATAAGTTTTAACCAACAAGTCGTCGGCATGTCCGTCAGAAGCTCCTAATCTTTACCTTTCTTATACTCTTCCTCCACAGCCTCATCCGAATGTCAAGCCGATGGCTTATGCCAACACATTAATGCAGCTGGGAATGATGTAGAGGCAGCACACATCCCGTCGGCGACGCTCGTGACCGGCCGTCGCTCCCGAATCATCCCTGCCACCTCAGTCTCTCCGGTGCTCGGACATGTCCTCATTCATGCTTAGCCTAAGGAATCCCCTCTCCCATTCAAGCTCCAGCTAGTTGTTGCACAGAAACAGATGCGTTGTTCTGATGGGACGAGCGCACTTAGACAAGCCCAGTCCAGTTTTCTTTTTATTCCTTCACAATATTTTTAATGGAACTGGAAAACTCCACGTCTCCGTTGTCAATTTGCCTGCTAATGTGTGCCATTGCTGAGTTAAGGAAACCAACCATGAGAAATTCAGATCCATCTTCTTTGAGCTGCTTGGTTTTTAAACAATGGCTTGAATTAACTGGTTTGTACCAAAGATATGTAATGAAAATGATTGTTCAGATTTTAGCTAGAGGAACTTTTGACTCTGGAAATTTGCATAATGTTGACGTCCATTCACAGTTAAACGGTTTCCAGGAGGATGTATGGATCCACATGTCTGTCAGTGTTTCTCAAACCAATCTACAGTATATCAGTTCAGCTATATTTCCAGAATAAAATCAGACTTTTTCTAATCAAAATATACTGTGGGTACAGTCCTAAAGGTCCTGTTTGCCATTAGTGATGTATTTTGCTGGTAGCGTTTATTTTGCACTTCTGCAATGCTTCCTGTTGGGGAAGATGCCGTCGCTCCACGTTTTCCATCTTTCATCAATATTGTGCCGCTATTTCGGCAGCTCCTGCACAGTCCACTCCAACTAGTGAGCAAACACTGATGGCACTCTAGTCTTCAAGATGTATTCAGACATATTACCCCATGTGAGAATTTCTACATAACACAAACGTCCAGAATACGATCCTGTCGTGAAACGCACAGTTATATTGTCTAATGGCCCTGAACTTTTTAGGTAAATAAATACACTTTAGTGTATGTATATATACTGTATCATTTAAAGATTCTGTGTATTGTTTGGAGAAAATTGAATAAAAAAAGCCAGTCCAGTGATTTTAGAAACAAACTGGTATCTTTATTTACAGAATGAACTTGTTTTCCAGGTTTTATATGTTTATTTTTAAGTATCTGTATTTAGATTGTTTAAGAGATTTGATAAATTTAGATCAAAGTTTTTTTTTTTATCATTTTATGTCGTTTCTATGCTGTTGATAAAACTTCATCAAAATCATTGCACATGATTTTCAGCGCAGGGTGAATTTTTGAATCTTTTCAGTGATTTGTGTCCAAAAACCCAAACTGAAAAGAACATCCTGCAGATTGCTTTATGTACGTTTATCCATAAAGGCATCCTTGGATAAGTTTAAATTATCTTTGCAGCTACATAAGAACACTCAGTTAATAGTAATATTAACCAATTAATTAATAGTAAACATTTTAAATCAATAGGTCTTGTCTGATGATTCCTAACTTGTTCAAAAGGAGAATGGAAAAATGGAGAAATGCTAGGATTTAATGAGCATTTAGGGCTAAACAAACGCTTTGCAGCTTTTTTGCACATCTTTAAAATTTCACTCTTGCATATGGAAGCCCTTTTTTGCCACTCATGAAGGACATTATCTCTTGATATAGTTTATCATATTTATGAGATGGCTAGTTAGAATTGTGACTTGGATATCTGATAATTATGAGAGTTTATTTTTCATGAGTGGATTCCATTCTAAGTGGATTGTTTCACCCTGCAGGCTTCATTATCCAATGTATTATAAGATACACATGCTTAACCTGTGACGGGGCGGTCAGAGTTTCCAGACATTCTGAAAAATATTGTTTAATTAGATTTTGTGGTTCCCAAATTATGGGTACACATTTTTTATGAAACTTGTGATTTCAAAACGTAAGAATGTTGTAGTTGGATACATATTAAAACAATTTCTGTTAAATCTAAAAATGAATATTTTGTAAAAGATTTTTTTGCTCTAAAGGTTTGGTTTTAGTCTACAGGCCATAATCATCAATAGTAAAAATAAAAAAAACGTCAAAACCATCACTCTGAGATTATCAGTATAAATATTATCTTACACATTGATCTGATTTTAAATCTACCTGTAACATGCATATCCCATTTACAACCCTTTTTGTACTATTGTCCTTTAGATGCCGTCCAGAAGATACCATTTCCGTTAGTTGATCTTTATGTCACAGTTAAATTGGTCATAAGAAATCTAAACAGTAAAACTTTCAAAAATGAGATCAAATGTTTTATTTCAATGTCAGCTTTTTATTTCCCAAACAAACTTTATAACTTTACCTAAAAAGCCACTTAATTCAGCTTTGACATACTGGTTTAGAATGATGGCTCTATGCATAATGTCGCTTTTCTCACTTCGTGCTGCCATGTCATTTTCAAGGCAGTTGTTATTCATTTTCACTTTTTTTTTTTTTTACATATTCTGTTTCATATTACCTATTTTTTATTGTTAAACTTCTAACTAAAAAAAAAAAAACTTGAGGTCGGACCTCCTTCAAAAGCCTAACTGAAAGATGTTGAAGGCAGCATTATTTTCTCAATGGCATCTCCAGACTATCACATGTGATGAATCCACCAATTTTGGTGCTCCCAGTCAAATGCCAGTTCCCTCGCATGATGTTGGGCTCTCACCATCCTTATAGCCCTTTTCTGACAATCTGAGCAGAAACATGCACATTAGTGGTGAGCCGTATGGGTATAGCAGTGCTACTCCTCTTCCTCTAATATACATTCTTTGATGTGCTGCACTGCCTGAGCGACCTCTGTGGATTGCAGGCACTTTCTCATGCTAACTCTGAGGGGGAGCAAGTAGTGTTTCGAGAGCATACACCACAAAAACCATCTAGAAATGAGTAAAAATGTTTTAAGTGCATTCACCCTTAATTTGAGTCGGTAAATAAGATGATTTGCCAATGGAATGAGTGTTTGTACTCTTAAAATAAGATCATTGGATAATATGCACTTGAAATAAGAAACTGTAATTGTTTGTTCTTATTTAAAATGTCAGTTGTCTTGTTTAATTGGTGGAGTGTGTCACTTAGCTCCTCAATTCAAGAAAAATGCACTAATTTTAAGAAGAATTTACTTTTTTACATTTCAATTTTTTTGCAATGTATGCACCAGGGGGCTGGGATGGGCCTTTTTTTTTTCCAGAGAGGAAATGAAACAAATAACTACCAGAAACAGTGCAGCTCATATTTTGCATATCCTATCTGAATATGGGGTGAGCTTAAAGTTGTTTTATAGCATTATTAAAATGATACTGGTGAGCTAAAAAAAAAAAAAAACTAGTCCAAGAGACCGTCAGTTATGGTTTCTGTGTCAGTGCATATCATATTTAGAAAGATATTTAGTATTATGTCTTTAGTATAGGGATCTAATGGGGACAAGGACCAGTTCTGAAGGGGTACTGGCCCCTGCTGGCCTCTTTCTATAAGCACCCATGGTGAGAGCACTGACAAAGTGACCAAAATCTTGAACATAAAGGATAAGAATAAAGAAACAAAAAAATTTTTTTTAATCACCACCTGCACTGTTCTACAATTTGCATCTGTTTTCTGTTCCATTTGAAGTTGAACTGTTAACTAGGATATAATTAGTTTAAGTTTGAGGTCCAACTGTTTTATTTGATTTACTTTCTGCTTTTATCACGTTTTTCTTCATTCGCATTTGATATGCTTTTATTTTTTTTCTTCTATTTTATTGTTTAATTCATTCAAGCACTTTGAAATGTCTTTTTACTGAATTGAGCTATACAAAGAAACTTGCCTTGCCTTTACAGAGCGGGTAAAATATGTGCAATCAGATCACAGTCGCTTCTTCTTCCTAACTGGACAGGTTAATTTTACTGAAGTTTGACTGACTTGGAGGAACTTAGTCATGTTTAAATGTTCCACTGATTATTATTATATATCTTTTTTTTTTGCTTTATATAACAAACCAATAGTGTACAAAGACTTGTTGAGGTACAAACATTACAACATAGGTAGAGAAAAAAATAGAACATGGGGTTAAAAACAAAAACAGACACAAACAGTAATAGCCAATGTATAAACATAGAGAAAGATTTAAAATAAAAGAGAAGTAGAAATACTGGCAGTTACTTTTTTTTTTTTGGCAGAAACAGATTTCAAATGTTTCGATGAGGTGTAATACAATTAAAATTGATTAAGAAAAATTCAAAAGAAGTAGAACCTCTCCATTTACAGCAATGAATATGATATTTGACAAGCAAGAAAACAATATTAAGCATATCTGAAATTTTACTATCAAGGTCATCAACATGTCAACATCAACAGGTGGATGATTGTTATTTTTTGGATCTCCTCAATTTTAAGGGACAATCAATTTTTGATGTCTCTCCATAGTTTAAAAGAAAAAGGACAGAAAAAAAAGATGATTAAGGGATTCATGCGGACATTCACAAAAGGCACGGCATGTTAAATCAAATTTAAATCTTTTTTGCAAAAATTCTGCCACTGGGTGAAAATGGTGCGAGATTTTAAAGTGAGTCTCTTTAACCTTTGGTGAACCCATTTAACAAACTTAGAGAATGCCTTCTCAAATTAGAGCAAATTAGTTATTATTATATAATCTGAGCAGCTGAAATCTTCGCATGTTTACTGCGTCATCGACAGTCTGACCGCGAATGGACCAATCACAGCCTAACAGGACGTATCATAGTGGGGCAGTCGCATGTATATGACGTATGACGTTTCTAACCAGCTGATCGTCGTTCGTCAGCCGCGCGCCGTGAGTCGACAACACGCACTGCACGAGTTCCAGCAGACGTATGAGTTGGAAGGACTTTGGTTTCACCTTGTTATGAAGACATCTGGTTCGAAGAACCAGGAGAGGTTCTGACAGCGATGCCGAAGTACTGCTCGGTACCGAACTGCCGGAGCGACGCAGGGAGCAGCGGCCGAAGGAAGAGCTTTTATAAGTAAGTCTCACTTTAAACTGTCGGTGTGTTTGAACGGACAAACAGATGATTAAGCTTCATGGATAGGTGCTCTTTTCCCCCCCATTTTTTTAATTCTAAAATTTTGTTGCTGAAGACATGGTTTACGCTAATTATTACATTTCCATTCCTGGGAATGTTAATAACGTTATTATTATTATTATTAAAACCGACTTAATTCTGAAATTCTTCCTGAGTTTGGAAAAATAATAGGGTAGTATAAATCTAAAACAATTTTTAAGTCATCCACTACTTCCTTATAATTTGCTCCAAGGTTTGCTGACTTTTCCTTTATATTACAATTTAAGTGTTTTATATGTCATGTATATTTACATTTTTCATTCGCTTTAGCAATGATTCTCCTACATTTCTGATTCTTAAGTTTTTTTCTTTGAACTTTGGCTGCTTTTAAACTTAATTCCCGTCGAGTCCTTAATTCTTTTCCTAAGGATGGTTTTGTATTTGTTAAACCACGTGGCATTAACCTGTGAGTCATCAAAGACTAACAAACTCCTTCCATTGGCTGCTGTTGTCTGCAACCAATAGGAATCACCGTAGAATGGCTTGTTTTAAGCATTAACAAGAAAGTGCAGCTTTTAGCATAAGGAGATTTTGAACCACTGGTGGGGGATGACTAAAAGAAGGAAACAACTCTGAATGAAAAATACTTGACTAGGAAAAAAGCTTAAATTCCCCCCAAAAAACACACACAAAAAAAAAATAACACGCACAAATCACAAATTATATGGTACAACACTTTAAACTGTATATTTACTTATTGGTAAAAATGGCCTTTACTATATATAGCGCTTTCTCAAGTCAGGAGGCTTTACCAAAGCACTTTACACTACATTCAGTCATTCACCCATTCACACTCATTCACTGATGGTGGAAAGCTACATTGTATTTATTTTTTGAGTTTTTATAGCAGTAGTGGCTCGTTTTTTTTTTTGACAGTAAGGCAAGGCAAATTTATTTGTGTTGCACAATTCAGTACAAAGACAATGCAAAGTGCTTTATATGATTAAAATATAGGAAAATAAAACCGAATCAAAGCAAGTAGGAAAAAATACAATAAAAAATGCAGAAACAAAATAGAATATTAAACAGTTGGACTAAAGAAAATAAAGTTGAAATAATGATGTTTTAGTTTAACTGTTTCACTAGAACACTCGAAGGCAATCCTAAACAAATGTGTTTTTAGTCTTGATTTAAAGGAACTCAGGCTTTCCGCTCTTTTACAGTTTTCTGGAAGTTTGTTCCAGATAAGTGGAGCATAGGAACTAAATGATGCTTCTCCATGTTTAGTTCTGGTTCTAGGTATGCAGAGCAGGCTGGAGCCAGAAGACCTGAGTGGTCTGGAGGGTTGATACACTGATAGCAAGTCTGTGATGTATTTAGGTGCTAAGCCATTCAGAGATTTATAGACAAATGAAAGTATTTTAAAGTCTATTCTCTGAGATACAGGGAGCCAGTGTAAGGACTTTAGAACCGGGGTGATGTGCTCTACTTTCTTAGTCTTAGTGAGGGTACAGGAAAGGGATATGATAGAGGGGTAGAGACATTTGGCAAATAACCACAGGTCGGATTCAAACCCGAGTCGGTCACGTCGAGGACTAAGGCCTCGGTACATTGGTCATACGCTGTAACCACTGTTTCACCTGCACACCCAGGTAAGCTACATTGTAGCCACAGCTGCCCTAGGGCCCACTGACAGAAGCGAGGCTGCCATATACTGCCTCCACCAGGCCCTCTGACCACCATCAGTAGATGATGCAGGTAAAGTCTTGCCCAAGGACACGACAACACTGAAGGCCAGGACTTGAACCATCGACCCTTCAATTTTTAGGGCAAACCCATACACCTGACGCCACTGTCTCCCCAGATTTCTATTTTATTTTTTTTTAAGTAAAATGTTGTCATTGTTTGCTGTGATTGTAGCCATTTCCCTGGTCTATACCACAAATTATTTTGTTTCTTGTCAAGAAAGCACATGCTAGGTCCTGAGATTTTTCATAATTTATGTGATGTTTTGCAGAACTCTTTTGAGTAATTGTATTAATAGGCATTTTATATTTTTATAGCACATTAGGGCGGGCAATTACTTGCATTTGCATTATAATTGAAATTTAGAAAAATGCAATTTCCAAATCGCAGAGGTCCTCAATATTTAGTCCCATTTAACAAAGAATAAGGAGTAAATGTCTCCCTCCAGTCCTTTAGGTGGCAGTAAATATATTAAAGTGGATATATAATTTCGCACAAAAGGGAGCAGAGAGTTGCAGCTAGCACATAGATCTGTGCGTTATAGTAGAACTTTTTCACGCAAATGTTACAGTAAAGTCCTGCAGCACTTAACTCTTGAGGAGCAGACTTTCAAGACCATGAAACCCTGGAGTAAAACACCCACGTGCTTGTACTTAGTTTAAAGGGAAATTACAATAAAATCGCAATTTTGGTTGAAAAATTTTCAATTTAGATTTTTGGCAATATCATTCAGCCCTAAAACACATTTAGTGTCAAGACGATTCAGTGTCACGAACATGAGGAAAACAAATATTTTCTTTAAGAAAATTATAGATAATATTTAAGAAAATGTAGACTGACATAGACTGTAGACTGAAAATTCAGACTGACATCTTGACTAATGATGTTTAGACAGTTCAGTCAAAGGCCACTTGAAACACATAATTTTTTAAAATCATGATTCAAAGCAACTAATCGTTCCAGGACTTTTGCGGTTTTTCGGGATTTTACTCCTAATTATTTGAGCTTAGGAACTGTAGGTGGCTTCTCCATGTTTGGTTCTGGGTATGCAAGTTAAATTAGAGTCAGAAGACCTAAATAGTCTGGGTGGTTGACACTCTGACAAGAAGTTTGTAATGTATTTTGGAACTTAGCCATTCAGCGACCTATAGACTAACATAAATATTTAAAAGTATCTTATTTGAGATATAGGGACCTAGTTGAAGAACTTTAGAACTGAGATGATTTGCTCCAATTTCTTAGTTTTAGTGGGGATGCTGGCAGCAGCATTCTGGATCCGCTTCACTGTTTGATCCACTGTTTAGGCCGACTGTGAATCTACTAAAGCTCAGTGCATTAGTTCTTTAATCCTGGGGATGTTCTTTAGGTGATAGAAGGCCGACTTTGTTACTGTCTGTATGAGTCTCTGAAGGTTCAGGTCTGACTCCATCACATCACCCAGATTTACAGTCTGATTGGTGGTTTGTTGCTGTATTAACTGAAGCTGTGAGGTAACTTTTATATCATTTTGTTTTGGTATAAAGACCATTACTCCAGTTTTGTCATGATTCAACTAAAGAAAACTTCGGTACACCCTTGCAGTGATTCTTCTATGCATGTAGGCAGCTCTGGAATAGGTTCATAGTACTAGAGAGATGATATCCTAGATATTGCATATAAAAACTAGAAGAGGAAATGCAGAGATTTGCTTTAGCCTGCAGGAATCTGGTCTTTTGTAATGATGAAGCCCCGTTCATATGTTCATCAGTAATACACGATGGAGGATTTTTTTTCTTCCAACAGGACAACTAACCTTTCACAAACGTCTTTTTAGCAACACGTTAATTTTAGAGAAGGGAAATTGTCCTGGCTGTGAAAACCAAAAGCATATCTGCATAGGAGCAAGGATTGAAAGTACACTAGGCATTTCTGTAATTGAAGCTCTGAAATAATAAAATAAAATAATTAAAGCTCTGGAATAATTAAATAATTTAAAAAACACAACAAGCAAAAAAAGACAAAAGCAAAACATTCAAAGGAAGAAAAGTCTAAATGTGTTGTTATAAAAGGGCTGGAGAGCTAGTTCTCTAAACGACCTTGATAGTTAAGGAGTTCAAGCTAATGTTGTTTTAGTTACTTTGAATGTAGTTATCACATTTTTTTTTTTTTTTTTTAAAGGCCAACATGCAAGCTTCATTAATTTTTTTTCTCCTGGAAACTAAGAGTAAGGCTTCTGTTCGCTTCTATTTTTCCAGCAGAATTAATTTCCACAGTAGCAGCAGAGAAAGTGGAGTCGGATCTTTAGAAAGTGATAGGACCAGCTATAATGTTACTGGATCATTTTATGATCGTCTATGTGAACTAGTCTGTAAATGTAGCGTTAAGCTTCATCCATGATGCATTTTTATTGTTTTTGCCATAGATGTGACCTTTAGCCTTCCTTTCTGACAGCAGCTCTTGTGCTTTCCAAGGTTCCCCCTACAGGACCCGGCGCGGCTGCAGCAGTGGCTGAAGAACATGAGGCGGGAGAACTGGACCCCTTCTCGACATCAGTACATTTGCCACGAACATTTCGCCCCGTCGTGCTTCAAGGTGCGCTGGGGGATCCGTTACCTTGACAGTGACGCTGTGCCTACAGTCTTCCAGGTAACCGAGGTGAGCAGAAATAAAACCGTTCTCTCTTGTTTATCTGAAACACTACCGCTGTGCTGATGAGCACGATGCTTCTGCTTACAGAAACGGAAAGCAATCAATCACAGTGAGAAGAAGCCAAAACGCCTCAGAGATGAAAATACCCAAAGCCCCAAAGCGTCAGATGATGGGACAAAGGCCTCCCACCTGGGAGAAATGCATACGATTCGCTTGGTTGAGTTGGCGGCCGACCCATTAGAACAAGCAGAAACCAGTTTGATGGAGTCGAGTGAAAGCCCTCGCCAGACTGAAGTGGACTCGCTAGTATCCCTTAGTGGAGTAACACCAGATGTGAATCTTCCTCTAACGTTGTATCAGACTGTAGATGATCTAATAAACAGTGGGGAAAGTGCAGAGGTGGTGATGATGACTGAAAGCTCTGCGCAGGGTGGACAGGTTGAGCTCGTAAACGGAATCACCGCTGCCATTTTGAGTCCCGACGGAATGCTGGTCCTAAACGAGCTGATGCTGGAGGCTCCTCCTGGAGTTCAGCATCTCACTCCCACCTCTGAAGATTTCCTGCAGGTCCACCAAGGGGAGGAAGTTGTTGCCTATTTTGAGACGGTACCCAACGTCCTTCCCAGCGGAACGCTGGCCTTCCCGCCCGACACGGTGCTGTCATCGGCTCTGAGCCCCGAGCCCATCTCGTCCACTCTGCCCATCGTCTCCAAACACGTTGCACCTTCATCACTCGTACTTGCAGTGGAACGGCTGGACAGGGAGGAGGTAGAGGAAGGGGAAGGTATGTCAGACGCAGATGAGGCGGAGCAGGAGAATCACCAGCTGGAGGAGCACTGGTGAGCACCGACCCCTGCTATGAGTTCATCGCAGGATAATTATCTTTTAATCATGTTTTCAAACCAAAGTTATTTTTGTTTTTTTTTAAAGATGGAATAATTGTACAAGTAACTTATGTGATTGTAAAAAAAAATTAGTGAGATGTATACTTTATGGATTTTCTTTTTTAATCCACATAAGTTAAGGTCATACAAACGGTAAAATGTGTGGATAAATCCTTTTATCAGATGCCCCTTTATCAAGCTGCACATCAACTACAAACCTAAAAAGCTTCTGGCATGATTATAACTCAATATTAAATCAATCTGAGATGGATTTTTAAGCATTTACCAACAATACTCAGTGAGGTTGAGGTGATGAGGTTGAATATTAATGTTCGGTTATGATCTTTGAACTATCTGACCCAAACGGTCACTGTTCCGTAAAGGAAACTAAATACCCAACCCCCACTGTAGGCTGATCTCCGTACTAAAGCCTTGTTTACATTGGTGTGAATACAGAAGGTTTCCATGGTTGGAAGTAAAAGATTGAATTATTTTAGCCTGAAATGATGAGAACTATGTTTGCAGCCAAAGAACATGGCAGCATCATAATGTGAGCTGCTTTCCTGTTATGTTTGTTGGTGCTTTCCACTAAATGCTTAAAATAAAGGACAAACTCTTAAGATCTTGAACCAATTAAATCAATACCTTCATGATGGAGACTTGGACCAGTTCGGTTTTCTAACAGGACTCTGATAGGCTTAAAGTGGATCAGCTGAATGGCTCACACCTCAGCCCTGCTGAAAATGTATGAACCAAGCTTAAAAGCCTTGTCTGTGCCCGAAATACTACAAATTTAAAATAACTTCTGTTTAAAAAAAAAAAGTGGTCAAACATCCATAAAGATATGATGATGACTATACAAAGCAAATGGGTTCTCTGCAACCCCTCAAAGACTTGGGTTTGTCTCACACTCCTTTTTGGTTTCGTTCTTCTTGCCAATAACGGTTTCATTTTCCTTAAAGGCAAAAAAAAAAAACCCAACTACATCACTTAGTCAGTTTATTCAGATGTTCACTAACGTAAAAAAATGTTCACTAACGGGTTTTCCCGATTTTAAATGTTTTCTCTTATGTGTTCATTTCACAAACAGCTACCATAAAAACAGTCTGAGTAAGGAGCAGCTGGAGGCAGTCGTGGCTGAGCTGCAGAAAAAGGTGAAGGTTCTGCAGCAGCGCCACCGCCGACACCTGGAGAAGCTCCTGGGGCTGGAGAACACTGTGAGCCAGCTGAGGCAAAGCAACATGCTCAACGAAGAGCGGCTGCAGCTTCTAGAGAGGGTACTTCTGGAGCTTAGATTTCATCTCCTGTTACTGTCAGGAGTAATCCCTACTGATAAATGTTATCAGTTTTTTTCTTATTGTATCTTTTCTCTCCCTCCCTCAGGCGTATTTGCAGACCAGTGCAGCTGTGTCGGATGGTGGTGAAACTGTGGCCATCATCTACGAAGAAGATGACGCTGCGTATTTTTACACTCCAGTGAACGATGCAGGGATGGCGTTGAATGTGGACAGCAAATGACTGTGGTTATCTTCTGTGTTTCTGTGCCAAAAAAAAAATCTAAAGGGGTTAATGTTGTTTAAATCAAGCAAGCTGTTATTTCTTTAAATCAGAATTTCATATATGATCAAAACTGTTTTTTTTTTTTTTTTATTATTCCTTCTGCTGTGAGCTTTACACGTACATAAATTACTAATAGGGCATTACTGAATGTTTGCCTTCTACTCCAACTGTTGTTTCACCAAAATTTTGTTAATTTATTTTTCATTATGAGAATTTAAATTTAGAAATCATTAAAAAAGATATTTTCAATAAGTTCAAAGCTTTAGATTTTTTTGTGTGTTGCTATTTGCAACGCAACTGATGATAATACATTGCGTAACTCTGGTCCTGAACCGCAGCCTGGAGCAAAACAAGTGAGTCAGAGCAGAGGGAACACCCTGCTAAGGACGGCTTGTTTAGTTACATTTCTAGTTTTTGAGCTGCTGCTTCTGCAAAACAAGGTGATTCACCCAAAGAGACGCTAGTCTAAGCACATTTTAACTGCATCTTATGTTTGCATATTGTTGAAGTTTTGTGCCATAACATTCAGAATTAAGAGAGTTCTGCAAGAGGATTTAAAGAATTGTTTTGTTATTGATAAAACATTCTGCAGTTTCTCTCATAATCCTTTTTAGATGGACCCAGTCGTGATGCACAGAAAAATACTTCCTTGTCATTTAGTTTGTTTCCACTAGAGGGCAGCAGAGTCATGCATCCTACTCAGTCCATCCAAAACAGGTGCTAGAGTCATCAAGAGCTTCCATCCTGTAACTTTTAGATGCATCTCTTCCTTAACAGACCTGAATCTAAAGGCTCAGTCTCTTCATTTAGCTCAGCAGAGATGTGGTAACGAGCCCATCTTTTGATTCAGGGTATTAAAAATGGGGTGCTCTTGAGGATGGACTCAAGGGTGACTTAAGCACCCTTGATCCAAAACAACAGTTTAATATTGGAAGAGTTAGACATAAAGTAGGGTCCAACACTATAAATTATACATTAGAGGTGCCAAGTAATGGAGTGTAAATCCTTAGCTGCTGCCCTTGTTCTATTCTTCTGAAGATTTATTTACTTAAGTGCCTCTGAAAACATATCTGTACTTTCTACTTCTCACTTTCTTTAAACAATCTCATTATTTTTATGCATATTGATAACAATGAATTTAATAGCTGCAACAAAACTGAAAATCTGTCCACTTGAAGTCCAGTTTGTTGGTAGAAACACAGCAACACTGATGAAGACGGGCATAATAAACAAATCAAAACAGTAAATTGCAAATGGAGACATGACTGCATCCATTTAACATGAGCTTAAGTTTTGGTTGCTGAATGCTCTAACAAATTGGTGAGCACATGCATGCACTGCTTAATAAAGATGCAACAAAAATAAAATTTGCCAAAAATATCAGTCTATAGTCCAAAAAAGTAAAAACAAAAATTTATCCACTGGACTCCCCCCCCCCAAGTTTGAAGACATTTCTCCTTGTTTTGGCTTGCATATTGAAAACATGCATATTGAATGTCTTCAAAGTTTGAAAACACTTGGAAAAAAAGTCCAGTTGAATTTTGTTGTTTACATTTTTGGAATGAACAGACCTGGATAACTGAGAAACTTCACCAGTGTAACAGTCTATATCTATATTATTAAAATATAAATATTTTGGCCCTTGAAGGCCATATAATTCGCCATAGAGGGCCGGATTCGGCCAGTTATGAATTTGACGTGAGATTTAAGGCGAACACTCCATCTCACTTTTGTACTAAAGTACAATGTGAGTGTATTTAAGTAAAGGAGTTCAGTTGGTACTTTCACTTTTAACAGTAGCTTAGTTAAAGGTATAGTTCAGGATTTTTGCGAATTTTTGAAAAGACCCAACCTCTCCAATAAAAAAAAAAAAAAAAAATTCACATGCACAACCCTGTACCCGCTCCCGAGAGGGAACGCCCTATTAAACGAGTGCAAGAGCATGCAGGAGCCCATTCCTCTTCGTGCACGCTCTGTTTATACGTTGCTGTTTTTATCGCTCATAAAAGCTTACTTTCCAAAAGAAGATTTGGAATATTTCCACTGTCAGACTCGCCAACGGTAAGTGAAAATGGGGACAAGTACGTAGGATGGCCTCACGTAAACATATCACCAGAATGATAGACAATTAGGAGGACCACTAATTTTGACGATCCAGCTGGAAAAAGAACATCCTCAGCTTTACCTTTAAGTAAGGAATGTGAGTACCTTTGACACCTCTGTACTTGATAATCCCATCCATCCATTTTCTTACAAGCTAATCCCAAGTGGGGTCACGGGGGGTGCTGGTGCCTATCTCCAGCTGTCTACGGGTGAGAGGCGGGGTACACCCTGGACAGGTCGCCAGTCCATCGCAGGGCAACACAGAGACGAACAGGACAAACAACCATTCACACCTAGGGAGAATTTAGAGGAGCCAATTAACCAAGCAGACATGTTTTTGGACTGTGGAAGGAAGCCGGAGTACCCGGAAAGAAC